TCCAGCTGGGGCAGCTGCCCTGCCCTGTTCTGCAGCAGGGCCTGGCTCTGCTCCCGCTGTGCCCCACTCAGCACTGGCACGGCCCCCTCACTGCAGGGGGACATGGGGGGGCTCAGTGCCAGCCCTGCCACCGTGCCCCCCATCCCGCTCGGCACTCACCGCAGCACACAGTAGCATTCCCGCAGGAAGCGGTCCCAGTCGGTGCCTGTCATGCGGGGGGATGGGGTGTTCCTGTCAATGTCCTGGTGCCCCAGGGTGCCCAGGTGCTGCTTGCAAAGCTGCAGGGCCTCCTCCACCAGCTGGGGAGCCAGGGGGGGATGCTGCCCTGCTGTGGGTGGTATGAAGTGAGGGACATGGCTCCTGGGGACCTGCTGTGCCACCCTCAGGACCACAGCACAGAGCCTCCCTGAGGGATGGGTGGCTTTGGGTGCACGGGGATGCAGCACCCATAAGTGGGCTATCAGGAAGGAGTGGGAGGTCTCGAGCAGAGCCTTAGCCCCCAGACATGTCCCTGGCCCTAAGCATCCTGTCACCCAGGCCCAGCCCCACACACTCACCTGGACCCTCATCACATTTAGGGGGCTGCTCCATCCCTGCTGGCGCATCCTCAGCCCTCTCCAGGGCCACTTTGAGCAGGCTGCGAGCTGCCGTCAGGCGAAAGTCCTCTGCGAGTGGGGTATTGTCCCTGCCTGGTCCCACACAGGCCGTGGGGTACCAGGAGCACGGGGCAGAGGGGGGCAGGAGGACAGTGGCCCCAGCTCACCGATGAAGGCCTGCCGCTCATCCGCTGATCCCAGCCGGTAGCACCGGGGGAAGAAGCTGTCGGGGTCAGCTTGGTTGTACCAGGGCAGGTTTCGCAGGTTGAGGCACAGCCCCTCCTGTTTGAGAGAAGGGTGGCAGCCCCTGACAGACACCCCCGCACCCACCACGTCTCCCACCCCAGGGACTTCCAGACTCCCACCTTGGTGGTGAAGGCTTTGACCCCAGCGTAGTGGTTCACCACCTGGTCCTGCTGCAGCCGCTGGTAGTCGACAGCCCCGCAGTGGTTGGTCCAGATAAAGTATGGCATCTGGTCCTGCACCAGCTGGGACTGCAGGAGGGAGAGGGGGGCCTATGTGAGGCATAGACCCCTCCTCATCCCACCCTTGCCCACCCCTGTGCCTGGGGGTCCTGGGAAGGGGTGCGGGGGTCCATGGCAGGGCTCAGTCCTCTCCTTCTCAGCTAACCATGAGCTCGTGGATGCCATCGGGCTCTTCATCACGCTGCTCTTCCCCTTCTTCCTCATCCTCCTCCTCATCAGGTGGCCATGGGGGGCACAGGGGCTCTGAGGATTCCAGGAAAGGCACTGCCTCCCCCTGCTCAGAATCATCACCATCACTTCCTTCATCATCCTCCTCCTCCTGCAGCTGCTTCTTCTGGGTGCCAGGATGCTGCTCTGGCCGCCTGCTTGTCCTGGGGAGCTTCTTCTCCACCCAGCCCCGGGCCCACAGCAGGCTGCGGATGATGGGGTAGGGACCCTGCACCACAAAGATCTTCTTCTCCTGGGGAGGGACCAAAGAGCTCAGCCTGCCCCATACCCGGTCCCTTCAGCCCCGCCCCCACCCTGAGCCACAGTGGTAATAAATACAATAAATGCTAGTGCACAGTGGCTTTTCAGGGGGGTGAAATCAGGCCCCTCACCTTGATGGCCCTCTCCACGTGCAGCCTGGCCCTCTTGAGCTGCTCAGGGTCAAGACAGGGGTCATGGCAGGCGCGGCGGGCGGGG